CAAAATAGAATATATTGTATGATTTATTTATTAAATAAATAAATAAAATCTTTAAAAAAAAAAAAAAGAAAGACGGTGGTCTCCTGGATGGCCAGTTAGGCCAGCTAGGAAAGGAAGGGGCTTCCTAAGCTGAGAGAATGAAGCAGAATGTATAAAGGCCTGGAACTACAGAGAGAAGTACAGGACAAGAAGGGAATAAAGACGGATGAGAAAGGAAGCCGGACAGAAGGCCAGAGGAGTCTGACCTTTATCCTGAGAGCTACAAGTTTTTAACCTTTTTGTAGACACAAAGCCTTTTGAGAACCTATGGGAAGCACTGTGGCCTCTCCAGAAAAATGTACCTATAGACCTATACTACAGTTTTGCATACATTTTCAAGGGGTTTGTGAGTAAAGCACTATTGGGCCTCAGGATTAAACCTATAGGAAAGGGAGAACCAAGAAAGGATTTTTTAATGGAAATGCATGGTCAGGTGTGAAAAGATTAGAGGTCTTTGAAAAGATTACATTGGCTGGGGTCCTGGAGACTTGAAGATGGAATGTAAAACACCCTGTAATCTAAGTAAGAATGGACTGGGACCACTGCTGTGTGCCTAATGACAGTGGGAATAGAGAGAAGAGGGAATCAAGAGAAGTAATTAAAATGAATTGAAATGGGAAACTGATTGGTTGTATGGGGCAAGGGCAGGAGATCCCTAGGTTTCTGGTCCAGTGTGTGGACTGGGATGGGGAGTGGGCCTTAGGTCCAGGAGGAGGAACCCTCTTTTGTCCCTGTGGAATTTGAGCTATCAGGGAACTGGCCCAGGAGGGTTGGAAGTAAAGTCTGGCTCTCTGGAGTCAATAAAATGTAGATGGTAACTGAAGTCATGGGAATGTATAAGATGAACCAGAAAGTGTGCAAAGTGAGAAGAGGTCTGAGAAGAGAACCCTGGGGAAAGCCCACATTTAGGGGAAGGGGAGGAGCCAGAGGAAACTTTCAAGGGCACTGATGAGTGACTAAAGACTGAATGGTGTCCTTAGTGTATAACTTTGGTCAGTAAATCCTGCTTCCTTGATAAAGAATGAAAATATGTTGCAGATTTAGTCCCTTCATAAGATTGAAAAGTCTATATTCTTTCTGGGAGACGGGGCCCCTTTCCAAAGATTTTAATTCAGAAGAGAGATGAGGGCAGGAGATGATTAAATCTTGCTTTCCCCTCTTTTTTGAAACTAGGGATACCTAGGGGAGAAGAAAAGGAGAAATAGACTCAAGCTCTTTTCCCTGCTCAGACACTAAGCCTTCAAGGAAAAGGAGTTTAGATAAGTCCTCATTATGGTATTTTTTTGGTTCCTGATGGCACTTTAAAAGCATACTTAATCACCAACAATTAGTACTAGGAGGTGCTAAGGTCTCAGTCTGGCTAAGAAAACAAGAAAAAGTGGAGGGAAAGCGTTTTCTTTTGCTTCCTCCATCTCCTTCCTACTTGTTACAGCTAACCTGAGCTAGAACTAGTCCCTACAAACATGGACTCAAGTACATAACAAACCACCCCAGAACTTATTCATTACTTGAATATGCAATCTGGGTAGGGCTCTGCAAGGATAGTTTGTTTCTAATCCACTTGGCCTCATCTGGGGCAGCCCATAGGCTGGAGGCTGGCATCATCCAAAGGCTTAGGCTTGTTCACTTACATGTCTAGTGATTAGTACTCACTGATGACTGGGACCTTAGCTGGGACAATCAGGTCAGAATACCTACACAATGACCTCTCCTTATGATTTGGGCTTTCTCACAACGGGGTTGCTGGGTTCCAAGTGTCCCAAGACTGAGAGACAGGTAAAGCTGTATCATTAGAAGTCATGCAGCATCATATCCATCACATTTGATTCGTTAGAGAAAAATCACTAATGCCATACATATTCTAGAGAGGGGAATTACACTCATTTTTTAATGGAAGGAGCATCAAAGAATTTGCAATGTGTTTAAAATTATCACACGAATTAACTTCAGATAAATAGATTTATAAACAATATATTGTATATTAAAAATGTTTAAACATAAGAAACCAAACATCCTCTTTTGATATCAGAATGAGATAGAAAAACTCAAACATTCCATTGTTACAGCAAAACTAATTCTAAACCAATCCAAATAGGCAGTTTGTCTCATAATCTTTCCTTCTTCTTCTCTCTCCTGACCATTCTCCCCACTCCAGGTCAGGCCTCCTATACACAGATACCCCTCTCTCCCAAACCAGGTAGGATCCTCACTGTGGCTATACCTCTAAAGCGATAATCAGGTCCTAAAAGTTTTTCCCTGAATTATCCCTGACTTTGTACCTTACCAGATCATTGGGAAGGCCATCAGTGACATGTCTTTACTTCTCAGAGTTAAAAAGCAAAATGCTATAGGGGGATTATTCCAATAAATAATTTTATAACAAATTCATTTTACATAATTAAAACAAAATGACATTTCTTTAAAAGGGCTATATGTTTTTAGATATCAGGATCTTGACTTAGGCTTGTTTATTCTTAAAACTCAGTGATTCTAAAAGGGATGGTTGAGATTTTAGGTATTTTATAAGAATTTTTATGTTGCCTTGAAGGTGATATACCACTTGATTATTATAATACAAAATTTAAATGACCCTTCTTCCATGTTTATAATGCACATTGCATTATTTTTCTTTAAAACCAGTACACAGAATTATTTGGTTGTTAAAAAGGCTCAAGAGGTATCTTAGGAACTGAAAATACTACCTTTCTTTGAATAATCACAATAAAACAATCTTTTCTTATAACCTAGTATCTTTTTAAATTCTCCTAAGCTGATATTATTATAATTTATACATCTTTGATGTTCTCTTAAAAGATTTATGACTTAGAAATAGTGCTTTCTTGGCTTAGAAATAGAGTTTTATTTATTTTTATTTTTTTAATGACTTTATTTATTCATTTGAGAGAGAGAGAGAGCGCGTGTGCGCGCACGCACGCACAAGCAGGGGGAGGGGCAGGGGAAGAGGCAGAGGGAGAGGAAGAGGGAGAAGCAGACTCCCTGCTGAGCGGGGAGCCTGAGACAGGGGACTCCATCCCAGGACCTGGAGATCATGACCTGAGCCGAAGGCAGACACCTAACCATCTGAGCCACCCAGGTGCCCCAGAAATAGAATTTTAATAATTCATACTCTCCTAAAGCCTGTCTAATACCTCTACACATTTTGGTCATTTTGCATAATTGTTTATAGTTATACTGAGTCAAAATGATACTGTGAATCCATAGTATGGAATACAAGTTTAAAAATAAGTATATCTAAATAATGAGCAAACATAGATTTATGAACCCTTTGTTTTGTGTATTTCTTAATGATTTTAAAGAAGCACATGTGTTTTAAAAAACAAAATGAATTAAGTATATCTTTGTTTTTAAAGGTTCTTATCAGCACTGATTAAAAAAAATTGACACAGTATTCGCATTAAGCTAATAGACTTTGTTATCAGGCCCCAAACTATTCCTAATTCTGTGACTTCATAGCTACCATGGAGGCAGCCCAAAGGAGCTTAAGTAAACACTTTTAAATTATGTAATGAAGTTCTGAGGGAGGAACAGCCCCAACCAAACTGTATAGTACTATACTATATTACCTTTCTGGGGTCTTAAAAATGTCCAGATCTTTGATACAGTAGTTCTACTTCCAGGAACCAACCCTAAAGAAATAAATAGGAAGTCAAAGATTTATATATATTCACTACAGTTATCTATACAGAGGAAACAATCTGAATATTCAACAGTAAAGGAGTGGTTAAATGAGCCATGGTGCATCAATCATATGGAATAATATGTGATAACTAAAAGTACTTAATGCCACAGAAAAATATTAATAGTAATTTAATGTACAGTTAAATTTTTTAGGTTATAAGACTATTTCTCATTTATTTGAAAATGCAACTTTTTTTTTTTTTTTAAGATTTTATTTATTTGACAGAGAGAGAGAGCACAAGAGACAGAGAGAAAGAAAAGAAAGAAGGAAAGAGAAGAAAGGAAA